AAACCCCCCCACACACACACACACCTACTGTAAAAGCTTGAATCTGCTACAACCTGAAGGCTTTCCAAAGATGTCCCATCATTCACATGCAGGAACAAGACTTCCTTCTGGGATCGGACTGAACGAATCCATCCCTAACGAGAAATATATCTAAACATGAGTTTAAAACACGTCAACATTTTACATTTTCATTACACGTACACATAGAAGACTAACTGGAAAAACAAAAAAAGTTCTCATAATCCTGCCTTAACAAATCAACTGCTTTTAGTTCACCCATATGCATATATAATTTTATACGGTCCTTATCACAATGAAATACAGCTTTGGCATTCCACCTTTTTTTTTGTTGTTTTGTTAATAAAGCTCATCATTCTGAATCGATACCCCAAACCCCATTAGGTTGATGAGCCTAATTCACATAACCAATCCCCGCCAACAGTCCAAGTTTTCATCCTGCCCCTGCCCTTCTCCCCTACCATCACACATAACAGGGCAAATATGTTGGTTCCTTTCTTCTTTTATACCAAATTCCCAGAAAAGAGATTATATAGTTCTAGACAAGAAATATCTTTAGAGATTTTTTTTCCACAAAGTACCATACCAAAAGAGTTCTCAAGAAACTTCTCATTGTGAACAATATTAAATAGCACGTAAACTTTCAAAGATACTCTGAATTTAAATGACAGGTATGAGTACAAATGAGATGTCTTCAAAGTAGACCAGTAACACTAAAAACAGCTCTCTCACAGATCACATCCAACTTAAACTAGCACAGAAGTTAAGAGAGAACATTCTTCTAACAGACTCAACAACTGTGAAAAACATGGTGTCTGGTCAACCATCAAACACGCCTGGGAGAAATGAGATGATGCTTCCTACTAAGAAAAACTTAATTGACCCTTACTTTCTTTGTATCCCCACCACATCCTACAGACACTGTTATTGAAGCCCTCCTATGACTTATTTGCATGTCCATAATATTTTGAGGGTTTGGGAACCATGCTTTTACTTTTAGTTGCTTTGAAGGCTATTGTCAGGCACATAGAGATAATCCATAAGTGTTTGCAATGGAAGAATATCTACCATGTACTGAACATCTATGTGACAAGCATTTTACTAACTTCTTCATATACTGTCTCGTCGTCTCCTAACAATGACACGGATTATCGTTATTCCTGTCTTATAAGTGAAGAACTGAGCCTTAGAGGAGGTAAGTAACTTGCCTAAGGTCACACTTCTGGTAAAGGGTAGAGCCTGAACTTGAACCCAAGTCTACCAGGAAGCCTTTGATCTTTCTCCAGGGCTACAATGGATAAAATGTAAACTGCCTCAGCGTTGTGTGCAAGGCCCTTCGTAATCCAGAGCATATCCAATCAGCAGTCACTTCCACAGCACCGCAGTCTTACTTTTCACTTGTTAGTAAAAGTTAACTTGCATGAGCACTGTTTAATGTGCTTCTGTCCTAAGCTCTTCATAAGTATTTTTCTACTTAATCCTCATAAGAACTTAATGAAGTAAATATTATCATTTTAGTGATGAAGAAACCTATTTATAGAAGTCAGGATAACCTCGTCAAATACTCAAGGTTTCCAAGCATAGAGCTCAAATCCAAATACAGCTCTTAGTTCAAAGTTCCTGTTCTTGTCAACAAGCTCTTCTGGAATGCTATTTCCACTCTATTCCCAATTCCTTGGCCTGAGGAAACACATCTTCAGGACTCAGCTGAAATGTCACCTCATATAAGAAATCTTCCTTGACCTCTTCACACAATTAAGGACTTCCCGCTCTGTTTTCTAAGTTCTCTATTTAAACCACTAATCCTTATTACACTGTTGTAATTATTTGTCATAGCCATTAAACCAGGGCTGCCCAATAAAAAATAAAATGTGAGAACCACATATGTAATTTGACATTTTTTAGTGGTCATATTAAAAGTAAAGAGTAACAGGTAAAATTAATTTAAATAGTTATTGAACCCATTTTATGCAAAATATTATCAACATGTAATCAATACTAAAAAACACCACTGAGCTTTGTTTTCATTCTTTTTTGTTCTTCAAAATTGGTGTGTATTTTACAATTACAGTACCTCTCAATTCAGACTAGCCACATTTCAAGTGCTCAGGGCCACAAGTGGCAGATAGCTTCTAAATCAGACTGCACAGAACTAAAAGCAAAGCCTGTAACCTAATAGGTTCTGTTCTTTTCATCTCTGAATCCTCTCTAGACTAGAACACAGAAGGTAGCATCAATGTATGCCGAATTAATGGATTGATGCAAGAAAGGTTTTGATTTGATCACAGAAAGAATATGAAACCAAAGAAGTGCAAAGAGGGAGAAATTGGTCATACTGCTAAAAGGACATGGGAGGACAACAAAAAAAAAACTGCATCAGTGTGTTTCAGCAATCTAATAAGTCAAACCACCTTGCTTGGCCTGCTCCTTTAGGGGGGAATCTTCTATGTGGAGCTGCTGCAAATAGTATTTTTAACAAGAGGAATTACAGCAGCTAACATTTACTGATGGTGGACCATGGTCCTAAATGTTTTGTAACTAATCTTCAGGACTCTGTTGAGATAGGGACTATTATTATCACCAATTTCACAAGAGGAAACAGGTTTACAGCACATAAGTGACATGTCCATAATTAACAAGCTAAGTGACAGACATTTAAACCTACGGAGCTTGATTCCAGAGCTCTTTCACACTGCTACACTCCACTCTTTCTCCTAATTTATTAAACCTAAGTCATACGCCAAGCCCCATTTTAGGCACTGAGGTGCCTACAAGTTGAATAAAAGTTATGGTTTAGTTGAACAAATATTTACTGTTAGCCATGCTTAAATATCAAGACATAAAACACGGTTCCTGCTCTCAAGGAGCTGTACAACTGCGGATATACATAACGAGAGACAAAGGTAAAGGTGGCGTTCATTTTTCTGTATGATTAACAAGTTTACAGGTAACGCCCTGGTATCACGAAAGCAAAGTTCCAGCACTCTGCAAGCATCGGAACGTTCCCCAAAGTGAGGTAATCAAGGAAAGGAGAAAAACGTGGACGTGCACGATTTCCTGCATTTCCTAACTTACCCCTGCTGGTCGTTCTGCCCGACCCGACTACAAGGCAAGCCCAAATGCGGCTATGCCAAGTCAGTCAACGAAAGGACGAATCCACCCACGTCCGATAAACTAACCTGGACCTTAACGCGCTCCCCACTCGCGTTCTGGGCCCTGAGAGCGTCCCGCACGCTCAGCTTGGCTGAAGGTTTGTGCCTCGGGCAGGGAGAGGAGGAGCAGAAGCGCAGGGCTCGGAGCAGGCACCGGGCCCCGAACATCGCACGGCTGCCCCAGGCCCTCCTCGGGACCAGCCCTGATCCCAAACGGGTTGGACCCTGACTGCAGGAATCCTTCTCTTCTCCCCTCTTCGGGCCGCAGCCCTGCCTCAGGCGCTCCAGAGCCGCCCGAAGGCGCCCTTCCCCTTCACGAGCCCCAGCTCTGTCCGTACAGAACCTCTCCGCTGCTTCCCTCTTCCCGAACGGGTGGAACGCAGACAACACATTCGGCGGCAAACTCCAAAAAGAAACCCACGCACCCTGGACGCCCAGAACACCCTACAGTCCTGCGCTGTTTCTAAACCCACGCCCGGACCCCTAGCCGAAACACGCGCGTCCTCCGCCGCGACGTCAGCACGCCAACGCCAACGCCAACACGCTACGAGGAAGTTGAGAGGGAGCATGCGTACTTGTGACTCCAGTTAAAGACGAGGCGGGGAGGAGGGGGGCGGGGCCAGCAGCTGAGGTGGGCGGAGCTAAGACACTAGGATTGTAGAGATTCGCTTTGAAGGAACTAGGTAACTAACTCACTTGGGGAGAGTTCTGAGAGGCTTCATTAGCTTCCAGGTGATGCTGAGGGATACAAAGTGAAAGGCAAGGAATGACCGATGCAAAAACAAAGTGCCCAGAAGAAGAATCTTAACTGTTGAGAGGATTAGAGAGAGTGTGTAAGTCTTTTGGAGTTCTGAGAACCGAAAAGAAAACAGGACAAAGGCCTGCTTAAATCACAGTTGTGTTGTATCAGATATCTAAACAGACAACTGAATAAAGGGTGATAAGTTCCCTGGCAGAGCCTAAGTATGGGATGCCAAAGACTGTTTGCTGGAGAAGGTAGCGCTTTGACAGGTTAAGAGTGAGTGAAGAGACCTTGAACAGAGGAGTCAGAGAAGGCATGACAGTGTGAAGATGTTGGAGAGAGAGTGGAGGAATGTTCGGCATTGCCTGCCAGAATCTTCAAGTCTCTCTCTTCCCTTTCTCCAACATAGTTATCTGCATTTGTTCAGCCTGGAAACAATGACCCTTTCATGTATTAGGCCACCTTTTAAATATATCCAGGATGCATCTTCAGAACTGCTGTCTGAGTCGTAGAGAGTGAGGATCCTGACTTCTTTTACCCTCTCACCTTACCTAACCTGTTTAAACCAAAGGGTTAATTATTTTCTGAGCAGAGGACCACTGGTCAGTAGTATGATAAAGGCAAGAGAAACCAGTAGGTGAAACTGAAAATGAGCAATAGTTAATTTAAAATGTACATCACAGAAAGGTGACTACTGCATTTGTGTATCTGGTGCTATATCAGATCATATCATCTTATTTCTTTTTTCAAAGTTGGAATGACACTTCCCCTTTTAGATTCATCATTTCCAGAGAGTAGCCAGGGTGATGTTCCTAAAATGAATATAATACCACGTTGGTAATCATGATGGTTAGTGCCATAGGATCCTTACTATGTGCCAGGATTAATATATTAATATTAATGTATAATCTTAATATATCCTTCACATATTAATTCATTTAATCTTCACAATAGCCCTCTGGAGTAGGGATAGAATCATCATCCCCAGTTTTGAAAGGAGAAACTGAAGCTTAGAGAAGTTTTGTTGTTTGTACCAAGTTACGCTGCCAGTTTGGCACCAGAGTCCATTCTCTTACCCACTTGTAACTCCAGTGATAAAACAACCCTTCAGTTGCTGTCCCTACAACATAAGGAGGACTTGCCTTTTATAGCATGCCTACCAGGCTCTCTATGACCCATGGAGCTCCCTAAAGTGCCCTGATTTGAGGAACAGAAGTGAAATATCCTTACTGTCACCTTTTGATATTGCAGGTGTGTTCACTGAACACTGTCAGCATTACTCGTCAGCTCTGAGGAGGGCTTTAATCAGGCTCAGCGTGACAAGTTTCAGCTAAACTCGCAAAGCTTCAGGGCTTCTAAAAGGTAGGCACATTACGCTGATACCCCACAATGTCATGAGTACCCTGTGTTCAAGGTTTTCATTATGCTTGAATCTACTCATAGAACTGTTAACACCCAAAATTTGACTTCAAAGTCATGACCTCAGAGTACAGA